AACTGAGGGTTTTAGAGGGGAGGGTGGGGGGGGGGATGGGTTAGCCTGGTGATGGGTATTAAGGAGGGCACGTACTGCGTGGAGCACTGGGTGTTATATGAAAACAATGAATTGTGGATCACTACATTAATAACTAATGATGTATGGTGACTAACATAATAAAATAAAATTTTTTTTAAAAAGCAGAAAATTTCAGATAAAAGGCAATGATAAGGGGCACCAGGGTGGCTCAGTCATTAAGCGACTGCCTTCAGCTCAGGTCATGATCTCAGGGTCCTGGGATCGAGCCCCGCATCAGGCTCCCTGCTCAGGTGGGAGCCTGCTTCTCCCTCTGCTTGTGCTCTGTCTCTGTCAAATAAATAAATAAAATCTTAAAAAAAAAAAAAAAAAAGGCAATGATAATATGGAAAGAAATCAGGGGGAAGATATAAGCCAAAATTGAAATCTATCAATTATTTTATGAGGAAGACAGACTCAGAGACAATCACCTGCAATAGTTTTATGAGATGAATAAAATTTGTTTACTAATCTTCAAAGGGTTACTGCTTAAGACAACAAAAAACTTAAAAGCAATTTGGGTTTCTACTCTTTGAGATTCAGTCAATAATCAATTTGAAAAATCAAAAACTACTATATTCCAAAATATTAATTATCAAAAGTACAAATGGGAAAAATATTGGGGGGGAACCTTTAAATAATCACATAATACACCTGCAACTTTACTAATCAATAGTACTTTCCTCTAATGATAATATGTTGTGTATAACTTTTAAATAGGTGTTTGTTTTTTAAGATTTTATGTATTTATTTGTCAGAGAGAGAGAGAGACAGAAAGAGCACAAACAGGGGGAGCGGCAGGCAGAGGGAGAAGCAGGCTCCCCACTGAGCAGGGAGCCCAATTCGAGACTGAATCCCAGAACCCTGGGATCATGACCTGAGCCGAAGGCAGACGCTTAACTGACCGAGCCGCCAACGCATCCTTTTAACCTTGAAATCTTGATTCCCAGAAAATGAGGCAAAGATCTGGAAACACAGAAGGTCCTTGGTGGATGGGATACATAATTTCCTCTTAAAAAAAAAAAAAAAAAAAAAAAAAACCCTGGATTTCCAACATGTAATGTGAATTTATGTTGTTAAATAAACACATATTTGGTCTTTTACGTACGAATAATATATCCATGTTGTTTTTACATTCAGTGATGTTTTTGTTTTTGTTTTTGTTTTTTTTTAAAGATTTTATTTATTTGTGAGAGAGAGAATGAGAGACAGAGAGCATGAGAGGGAGGAGGGTCAGAGGGAGAAGCAGGCTCCCTGCTGAGCAGGGAGCCCAATGCGGGACTCGATCCCGGGACTCCAGGATCACGACCTGAGCCGAAGGCAGTCGCTTAACCAACTGAGCCACCCAGGCGCCCCCATTCAGTGATATTTTTAAAACAGACTCTTAGATAAAGACAATTTCTAGTCTAAGAAGTATTTTTTAAAAGTTTAAATCTAGCATAGATAACAATTTCAATGCTAATGTCCTATTTTTAAACATCTTTGTCATTATGAATTATGTATATGCATTGACATCAATCATTAATCTGCAGGTGTTCCTAATGTAAATTGCATATACTTGTTTAGATTTCTTCCAAAGGCTAGTAGCATACTAATTCTATTTAGAAAAGTAGGCACCGGGCGCCTGGGTGGCTCAGTTGGTTAAGCGACTGCCTTCGGCTCAGGTCATGATCCTGGAGTCCCTGGATCGAGTCCCGCATCGGGCTCCCTGCTCGGTGGGGAGTCTGCTTCTCCCTCTGACCCTCCCCCCTCTCATGTGCTCTCTCATTCTCTCTCAAATAAATAAATCTTTAAAAAAAAAAAGAAAGAAAGAAAAGAAGAGTAGGCACCAAGATCTTTTTAACCTGAAAGCTCTGCGAAACTGAATGGGCTAGAACTCAGAGATAATTTGGTCATGTTCTAGTTCAAGTTGAATGGTAGCTTCATGGACGTTCATTTTATTATTTTGCTTTTTACTTTACACGTTACTTATATTCATGTACCAAATGTTATGTAGTTAAAAATTAACTTATAGGGGAGCCTTGGTGTCTCAGTTGGTTAAGCATCAACTCTTGATTTTAGCTCCGGTCATGATCTCAGAGTTGTGAGATCGAGCCCCACATCGGGCTCCCCACTGGGCATAAAGCCTGCTTAAGATTCTCTCCCTCCCCCCTCTAAACAAGTTAATTTATAGTTGATATACGTTCTTCAAAATATAGTCACAAACATAAAAATGATGAAAACAGTACTTCATTAATTCCTAGATTTATGTATACATCAATGTCTTGGAATTAATTGAAAAAAATATTCTCTACAGACATTTCACTATATAGAAGAGATCATTACAATCCAGAAAAATTAAAAACCACTTAAAAACTAAAATTTCTCAACTAAAATAAGAACTCTAGTAAAATACACATAGAAAATATAACTTATAGATCTGGTCTTGCAAACCTTCTGTTCTGGCTGTAAATCTATTGTGAGAAGACACTAGGGCAACTAAAATGATGTGGGCTATTAGAAATTTGGGGTTGTTTGAAACTTTATGGAGCAACTAGGATGGATTTATGGCTTACCTATCCAACTGACTGTCTTATGTTTAAAATTTGGCTAAGAATAGGGTGCCTGGGTGGCTCAGTTGGTTAAGCGACTGCCTTCGGCTCAGGTCATGATCCTGGAGTCCCAGGATTGAGTCCCACATCGGGCTCCCTGCTCGGCAGGGAGTCTGCTTCTCCCTCTGACCCTCCCCCCTCTCCTGCTCTCTCTCTCTCTCTCATTCTCTCTCTCAAATAAATAAATAAAATCTTTAAAAAAAATTTGGCTAAGAATAAATATTACAAATCAGTCTATAGTCTGAATTGTGAGACAGTTTCTATTTTCTTCCTATGGCAGTATTATTCTTGTTTCCCTCTTTTTTTTCTATTTGCTTAGTGAATCACAACTATCTCCATACATTTGCCCTAAATTAAAGTCAAGAGGGCTAGGAGTTAAACATTATAAACTTATTATTAGAAACTTTATGTTCAAGTGTTCTCCTACTCTTATTTATTAGCAAAATATTTTTAAAGGCATTTGCCATATAAACAACTCATTTCCTTAGAAAGAATCCAACCTATCAAAACCTACCAAAAGACCAATTTTTAGCCCTGATTTTTTTCCCTTTTCAACAAGTGTTAAAAACAGGTGTCAAAGATAGAACCAGGTTAATCTGATCTGTCCAACTCCAGCTTAGCTTTTAACACCTTGTCATAACATCCTTATCTTTTAACACCCAGGAAGGGTTAGTATTTCTTTGTAAACAGTCCCTCAACTTCACAAAGAGCTTTTAAGGAAAGGTTTCCTATAAGAATATGAATTTCAGTTCTGGTAATCTGACCTAAGAAGAAAATTCTGGTCAAAGAAAAGCATTATACACAGATGTTCATTATAGTATTATTCATCTTAGAAAAACATATAAATTCACTTAAATGTCTAAGAAGGAATGACTACCCAAATGATATTTCTTTTATAAGTGGAATATTATGCAGCCATAGAAAATAATGTTCACCCCAAAAATGTGCAATCATGTGGGAAATACATTACAGTGAAGAAATTACATTTTTTAAACTATATTAAAAAAAATTAGAAAGTACACTGGGTTTTCAAACTTTTATTGTCTTTTCCCAAATGGTCTACAATGTGCATGTATAACTGTTTCATCTGTTAACACCACAGTTATTTTCCTACTGCTCATACTTTAAAATATGTTACTATCAAACAATAAAAAATAGAAATAAAAACAGGGGTGCCTGGGTGGCTCAGTCAGTTAAGCATCCAATTCTTGATTTTAGCTTAGATCATGATCTCAGGGTCGTGAGATCGAGCCCCACATTGGGCTTTGCATTGAACATGGAGCCTGTTTGGGATATTCTCTCTCCCTCTGCCCCTCTTTTGCTTCCCCTCTCTCTAAAAAAAATACAAATACAAATACAAATACAGGGTGCCTGGGTGGCTCAGCTGGTTAAGTGACTGCCTTCAGCTCAGGTCATGTTCCTGGAATTCCAGGATCAAGTCCTGCATCTGGCTCCCTGCTCAGTGGGGAGTCTGCTTCTCCCTCTGCCCCTCCTCCCTCTTGTGCTCCCTCTCTCTTTCAAATAAATAAAATCTTTAAAAAAATACAAATACAAATAAAAAACACTACTGTCATTTTAACACTTAGCTCCCATGGAATGCATACCTCCTTCCTTACTTTTCTAGAACACATACTTCCATACACTTAACCATCTGAAACACAAATGAAAATTTTTCAGTTATCAACTACAGCCTCAATCTTTTGGAAGATGCACTTAGAAAAAAAACTTATTATCTGAAGACTACTAGAGTATCATAGTTAAAATTAATTTGGTTATCAGTTATTATTATCGTAGATAAACACAATTTGACTTCCAGAATCCCTGGGAATTTTTTCGCACCTGTGTCAGATCCTAGGGGATTTTTACTGTTGTGGATGATTTCTATGGTCTATCATATCATCTACAGAGATAATAGCCATTTGGTTACATCTCTTCCCATTCCTCAAGGAAGACCAGATCTATGCACTAATTCAGAAAGCTTTAACGATGCTCATTTTTTCTCCTTTGTTTTTAACCTTCAATTACATAAAGGCTCAACTTAAAATTAAGAAAAACTGAGTCATTTTTTAAGAAATAAGCAAATAATTCTTTGAAGTATTTGACTTTATCTCTCTAAACATTTTTTTCTAGCCTCAAATTCATATTTCAATATTTCCCAGATAAATCCAACTGGCTGAAGTTTTCTTTGAAACTATTCAAGACCAATGTATTCAATATCACTTGGTACAATTTTGCTAGGCTGCCCATCTTGAAGGTTTAAAAAAATGGTGACAATTAAAAATTATTTTCAAATTAGTTCTCCATTTTTATCCTTCAAACAGGCAAGTTTTCCCACCTTGAACATTTCCTCAATATTAAACTCTTCTCTTCATGAACTTGCCCGTCATCCTTATGCAGGGATCACGCTAATCTTCTCTGTATCATTCCAATTTTAGTCTATGTGCTGCCGAAGCAACCACAAACTCTTCTCCAAACACAACCAAGTTGGACCTGAACTTATTTTAATACCCACAAAAAATCATTTAACTTTATATATATTAACATCCAAGGATGTAATTATTTTATTACTTTTATAGATACAAAGAGATCTTTCCAGAGGAAAGAAATAAGCCCATAGTTGTACTCCACATATATCCAAAATGATTTCTCTTCCTCCTAGGGTAACTGGCATCTCAATGAGAGCCTGGCTTTTAAACTACTCCACTTTCATAAATTCAAAAATGCAATATACTTACAGCTAGTTGAATAGGAAATGCCTATACTTCATTCCTGCCAAACTATTAGCAAGCTACTTAATTAATGGGAGTCTACCACTATCTTTTTGTCCTCCAGACAAAAACGGGGCATATGTGAAAATCATTTTTCTATCTACTACACTTACTGTAAAATGTTGAATACTATGGGCAACCACACCAAAAATTATACTCAGAAAAGCCTCTTACTTGCTTCTCAGAGTGTGTTCTACAAACCTGGGAACTTAACAGAAATAAAAATCTCAGACCCTACCCCAAATCTACTGAATCACAACCTACATTTACCAACAAGATGCCTGGGTCAGGGTGCCTGGATGGCTCAGTTGGTTTCGGTTAAACATCTGCCTCCGGCTCAGGTCATGATCCCACGGTCCTGGGATGGAGTCCTGCATCAGGCTCCCTGCTCAACGGGGAGTCTACTTCTCCCTCTCCCTCTCCCTCTCCACCTTGCTAGTGCTACCTCTAACTCTTTCTCTCAAATAAATAAATAAAATCTTAAAAAAAAAAAAAAAAGATGCCTAGGTCATTTGTCAGCACATTAAAGTTTTGAGAAGCACTACTCCAGAGGTTAAGACAAAAGGCACCATGATAAACCATCTCCTGCATCCATATTCTAAGTTGTGCAAAGCTATACAAAATTTAGTCAGCAATGAATAAATCATTCCTAGAGACTGTTGGTAAATCTTTTAATTAAATCAGGCCTTTCCACAAAGGTAAAAAACAACAACAAAAAAGAAACATGATGCTTCGTGCCTATTAACAGCATCTTCATTGCACTACCAGAACTATATATTTTTAATAACGTGCTGAAAATGGGTACATCTGTTCTCCATCCTCTATTAAGAAAAGCATTCTTGGGGCGCCTGGGTGGCTCAGTTGGTTAAGCAACTGCCTTCGGCTCAGGTCATGATCCTGGAGTCCTAGGATCGAGTCCCGCATTGGGCTCCCTGCTCAGCAGGGGGTCTGCTTCTCCCTCTGACCCTCTTCCCTCTTGTGCTCTCTGTCTCTCATTACCTCTCTCTCAAATAAATAACTAAAATCTTTAAAAAAAGAAAAGAAAAGAAAAGAAAAGCATTCTTGCTAAAGAATTTTCCTCTCCTTTTCAAACCTATAATGTGTCTTAGGGATGAAATCTATTTCCAATTGTTTGAAGTTAAAGAATTTTAACATAAGCATCCTAATTTGACCAATTTTAGGAAGCATTTATTCACTGTACAAATGCATTACTTAGGTATGTTTGAGATAAATACATGTCCCATATCATAGGCCGTGGCCTCACTGTAGGTAGTATGTTATACCTGTAACAAAGGGTCTTCACATTTTCAAGAAGGATTTTCATAAGAAAATATCAAATCATAGCCTACCAGAAATTTGTAATACAATCTGACTCACAAAAGTATAATTTATACAACTTTCCAGAGGCGTATCTAAAATGTAACGTGGTATACCTATACTGACCTGTGCCCTGTTAGTCTACGGGTTTTTAAACAAGATGTCTCTATAAGGACTTCAACTCGAGCCTACCACAAAAGTGCTCTGGGCATAAATTTATCCCTCTACAATCATAGCCTTGTTCTAAACAGAGCCCTTAAGTAAATTAAATCTTAAGAAAAACACTTTTTGTTTGTAAAGAAAGAAACATTTCCTGAATGCCAGAGAATGTTTCCTTGAGAAACTGTTTATGTTACTGTGCTGAAAAGGTGTTTATGTTGCTATAAACACCTTCCTTGTAAGAGGGGATGGAGAGTCTCCCTATTGTTTACATTGTAATCAGCCCTGATTCTGAAAAGATCTACCCTTATTCCTCATGCCCAGACTAACTCACTGCATTCTGTCCCAATCAGATCATTCCCAAAGATATTCTGAATTTGTTTAGCATAATCAACCCATTACATAAGAACAGGGGACCATGGGTTCATAACTGGTACTACAATTACCAAGGCCATTAATTAGCAGGTTGTGGTGGTTTATGCTGTGTCAAATTTGTTAAGCATAAACTACATTTCCTGGAATCTCTTCCCTGTATAGTTGCAGCTTAGGGTTGACCAAGAGTAGAATTTGCATAGGTCTGGACAGATCTGTATGGACTTGGAAGCCATTACTCTCTGAAGGTTGTTATGGTTAGAACAGTGACCAGACAGGCTCTGTGGGCGGGTTCAAGCTTATCTTTGCTCTTCTCAGATCCCTATCCACCTTTCCAAACTGGTCCTGTAGGGTCAACAGCAACTCCAGGCCCACCAACAGACACAAAGAGATGGTAGTTACACAGAGGCACATGAGTCCACGGCCCCCTGCCCCAGGAGCCTTGTCTCACGCTTGGCTTCTCAGACTGACTAGTTGGGGACTCCACTCATCCTCCAGCTTGCCTCCTGGCCCTTCATTTCCCAAGCTCCTACCATCAATCTTTAAGGTTTAACTTCTATAATAAATCCCTTATTCTATAACCCATTATGGTCTTCTGTGATTAAACCCCAACTGATTCTAAAGGTTTGGTTTACTTGTTGGCTCTAGATTTAAATGGTCTCTGGCCATTAAAGACACGGCATATTCAACAGTAAATGGCAAAGCAAACTGCACCTGCTCATGCTCAGCTGATAAATGTTAGAACAGGACCTGGAGTTCACGCCCCCTTCTTAACCCTAATTTTTCCCATATAATTTTTCTCTTTTTGTTCTGGCTTTGAGACATAACTGACATACTAAAATACCACATATGTGATGTGCATAATTCGATGTTTTGACATAAATATACACCAAGGAAACCATCACCACAGTCAAGATTATGAACATATCCATCAATCCTAAATCCCTTTTCATGTCTCTTTAAAATCTTTCCCCTCCCTGGCCTGCCCTACCTCCCAAACCACACCTCCCATAACCACTGATCTTCACTGTCACTTATAATTACTTTGCATTTTCTAAAATTGGTATGTCTACATATGGAATCGTACAATATGTACTCTTTTGGGGGAGGAAGTTAGCTTCTTTTACTCAATATAATTATTTAATTATATTAAGTTTCCTCCATATTGTTGTAAATATCAATAGTTGATCCCTTTTTATTGCTGTGTAGTATTTCATTATACCACAATTTGTTTATCCACCTCCCTGTCGGTGGACATCTGGGTTACTTCCAGTTTAGGGCTAATGCAAGTAACACTCTGAGGAACATTTGTGTAAAAGTCTTCCTAGGGAAGTATGCTTTCAAGTCTCTTGGGTAAATAGCTATGAATAGAACAACCAGGTGGTTGTATACTTAAGGTTTTTAAGAAAAAGAAAAACTGTCTTTCAAAGTGATACACCATTTTAAGTACTGAACCAGCAATGTATAAGAGCTCCAATTGCTCCATATCCTCATCAACATTTGGTACGGCCATTCTTTTTAATTTTAGCCATTCTAGGAGTAGTGTAATAATATCTCATGGTAGTTTTAATTTCTATTTTCCTAACAACTTGGGATACTGAACATCATTTCATGTGCTTCTTTTGACATGTGTATCTCCTTTCTTGAAATGTCTTCAAATCTTTTGCCTATTTTTAAATGGGGGTTTCTTATTATTGGGTTATATATCTTTATATATTTTAGATCCAAGTCCTTTGTCAGATATATGCTTGGCAAATATTTCCTCCCAGCCTGCGGCTTATCTTTTCATCTCCATAACTTTTGAAGAGCAACATTTTTGCATTGTCCCTATCTTCAGGTACCACAGTAGCTTCCTAGGGTTGCCATAACAAAGTACCAGAAACTGGTTGGCTTGAGGCTACAAAAATTTAATCCTTCATGCTAAAAGACAGAAATCAAGGCAATCAAGGTGTTGGCAGGGCCAACCTCCCTCTGAAAGCTCTAAGAAAGAATCCTTCCTTCACTCTGCTAGCTTCTGGCTTCTAGTGGTTGCTGGCACACTCACATTCCTTAGCTGTGGTGGCCTAACTCCAGTCTCTGCCTTGTCTTTGCATAGCTTTCTTCCCTGTGTCTCTCTGGATCTTCACACCACCTCCTTATGAAGACACGAGCCATTGGACTTAGGGCCCACACTAATCCACTACAATCTCTACAAAAGACCTTATTTCCAAATAAGGTCATGTACACAGGTATGTGGGGGTTACAATGTCATCTTATCTTTTGGCAGGGAACAAATTCAACCCATAAGAGGCACTCAGATTTTAATATTTTAAAAAGCACACTGAACGATAAATTATTCAGCATAAATTCTGGCCTCCTTGACAACAGCCTGGTCTTACCTCATTCACTGTTCCCATAGAGATATACCCCAAGCTCATTCGCAGGATTTCTTGCCCACAGCCTTACTTCCCCAAAACAGATTCCAGTGACACAGTCAGTTTAGTTTAAGCATCTACTCTTGGCTAACCCTTCTTTATCAACTATTAGGTAAAGGTAATGTGAAGAGGAAAATATTGTTACATGATCTTCTCCTTTATGATCTCCCCTCCTTGACCTACGCCCAATTAGGGTACGAAAATTTGGAGGAACAGGTTAGGGCAGTGACAATTCTCAATCTGCACTAAGAAGTGCTTCTTCTAGTTCTAGCCATGTCTTCCTTCAATACCACCTAGAAGAAAATAGAAAATGCTTCCCCAAAGAAACATGTTCTAACAATCAACTGCTGAATAAATAACCCCAAACTCAATTTAAAAGGACAATAGCCATTTTACTATCTTTCATGGTTTCTGGGTCAGGAATTCAGG